GTGAGGACTATGCCTTCATAAATGGATTGATCTGCTCATGGAGTAATGGGCGTGGTTCTGATGGCTTTATAAGGAGGGTAAGTGAGTAGGTTAGCTCTCTCTTGTTTATGCCATTTTCTCTTGCAATTTGATGCCCTGAATTGCTGTAGAGTCACCATGAGGAAGAAGGCCCTCACCAGATGTGCCCTCTGAACCATAGACTTCTTGCCTCTGAAATTGTAAGAAATAAATTTTATTTCTTTATAAATTACCCNACATTATTATTAACTAACATCCACTATTAAATAAAGTACATACTGTATTTGGATTTCTTTCGTTTGTACCTAATATCCTTCTTCTGTTCCAGGATCCCATTCAGGATACCACATTACATTTAGTTGTCATGTCTCCTTAGGGTCCCCTAGACTATTCCTCTTCTTTTTACCTTCCTTGTTTTGATAACCTTGACAGTTTACAGGAGTCCTGGTCAGATGGTTTGCAGAATGCCCCTCTGTTTTTCTCATGTTTAGACAGGTATTATGAGTTCTTGGGAGGCAGACTAAAGAGGAAGTGTGCCATTTTCATCTCATCATATCAAGGGTACTTGCTTGCTGTCAGCATGCTCTATGACTGTTGAGGTTGACCTTGATCATCTGGCTAGTCTTTGTCAGGTTTCTTTGCTGGGAAGTTACCTTTTTTTCTCCCTTTCATACTCTGTTCTTTGGTAGGAAGTCACCACGTGCAGCCCACACTTAAGATATGGAGAGTTATGCTCCCCCACCTGAGAACAAAATATCTACATAAATTATTTGGAGTTCTTCTGCTTGGGAGATTTGTCTCTTCTCTGCCACTTATTTATTTAATCATTTATTAATATATGTATGCATTCATGGATATTTATTTTACACTTTGGGTTATAATCCAATACTACATCATTGACTTTGCCATTCAAATCATTCCAGCTTTGGGCACTGGGGGCTCTTTTACTTAGCTCCTGTGACCTCGTGACATACTGTTATGGATTTAATATGTCCTCCCCCACCTCTGAATTTATATATTGAAGCCCTAATCCACAATGTGATGGTATTTGGAGATGGGGGTCTTCAGGAGGCAATTAGAGTAAGATGAACGCATGATGATGGGGCCCTCATGAAGGGATTAGTGCCCTTATAAGAAAAGATACCAAAGAACTTGATGTCTTTCCCCTCCACCCACCCTCCAACAAGTGCATGAAGAAGTGGTCATTTGAGAACACAGCAGGATTGCAGCTGTCTACAAGACAAGACTAGAGGACTCAGAATGAAGCCTACCTTGCCAGCACTTTGATCTTGGGCTTCCCAGCCTCCAGATGGTGAGAAATAAATTTGTGTTGTTTAAGCCATCCCATCTATGATATTTTGTTATGGCAGTCTGAGGTGACTAAGACACATGCCCCAGTGTTTTGCTTTTTGAGCACTTCCTTACTTTCTGGCATTGCAAGATGCTCCAGGCTCATCGTGTAGATTCCCTCCCCCAACCCTAGAATCAGCCACTTCTCCAAGAAGCCCAGTTCCTTTTATTGGAGAATGGTATTAGAAACCAAGAACTGGCTCCTAGTTAGCAAATTGTTTCTGAATGGACAAGTAAGCATTTGTTTTGTGCCTCCTATGTGCCAGGCACCATGCTAGCTCCTTTTCATGTCAGTTTACTTAATCCTCATAATAACTCTATGAAGTACTTATGGTCAACCCTCTCTACAAATGAAGAATAGAGGTTTATCTGGGTTAAATGCCAGCCAGCATCACTCTGTTCTGTCTCTAAAGCCTATCACACTGCCATGATGGAAATTGGTGTCACATACATCACAAATAAATAAACAAAAACCCATCTATTTTCAGTTTTGTGCTAATGTACTCCTTAGGCACTGGAATAACTTGCATTACAATAATTACATAACAGGTAATCATGCTTATTCAGTGGAGTGAAGATATAAGAATAAGACCCTCCTGGGCCCACAAAAAAATAAAAATTACCTCTCCTAATGTGCAAAGATGTCACACGCCTCTCCTTGTGTGTACAGATGGCACACATCTGTCCTTACAGACGGGGGAAGACGACAGGCACCTATCTTCATGTGCACAAATGCATGCAGCTTTCCTCATGGGTGCAGATATGTACCTATCTTCATATGCTCACACTGAACACGGTGATCCTTGTATGCACAGATGACATGTACTTGTCCTTAAGTGCACAGATGACATATCTTAACTCACAGGATAATAAAATCTGACATGTGGAACAGTGCTTTGTAATGGACATTCACAGTATTTGTCAATTGTTCATGTTTAGACTATATCAGATTTTTATCCTTCATGCATAGGTCTTGCTTATGAAATTTGGGGATGTCCAAAGACAACATTTAACATCTTAGCAGTTATGATTCCAAATAGTGCTTCCAAAGGTAAAATTGGAGGTTCAAATCTTGCCTGCAAGGATGGGGATCATATCACAAAGATGGGGAACAAATCAGTCAGCCACAGTGACTCAGGCTTCTATCACAGTGGCCACAGTGTGATCTGCCATTTGAAGTGGATATTGATGGGTTTGTCTGTTCAGCACTCCCTTTTCCTCTGAAAACTGCCTCTGCCATCCCCTCCAGAGCTGCCATGTCAGTATATCTGCTCCTGGCCATTTGTTCATTCCAGGGATGAGCACTTGACCCAGCTGGGCCAATCCTAGAGTTCTTGCCTTAGAACTTTTGGAAAAGGAACTTAAAAAGTTGGCCTTTCTTTAGAGACCAAGCCTGTAAACACTGAGGTTGTCAATGGCCATGTGAAGAAAGTTTGTGTGCAAGAGATCAATAGGCAGACACACTCATACACAAGACAGACATTAAAACACCTGAGTTCTTGGTTCTAACAAATCCTAATATCTTTCACCAAGTCCTTTTTTATGCTAAGGCTCGTCAGGGATGGTTTTCACTTACTTCCAATCAAAAGAGCCCTATCCAGTGCAGAATGATTGCTAATCACTGTCAATCATTTCTAATATACCACAATAAATATCCACTGAAACTCAAACTTGCAACGGACACTTTTCCAGTTCCCAAAATATTATACATATGGTCCAGATCTCCTGTCAAAGGTGGTTAATTTGGTTTATTAATGTTGTGGAAACTTTCCAAATACATACTAATTTATCTTAAGTTTGCATAATAAGCTTCTATTAATCTGGCTTTCAAATAACAAGAGATTTCAAACTACTAAATTTGTTTTTTAACTCTACTTTATGGAAACAAATGAAATGATAAGATGTAGTAACTAAGGGAACTATTCTAAAAAACACCTTTTGGGATACAACATCAAAACCTTCAATATTATGTGTATTTTAGCACCTGAATCATCAGAGCAATATAAGCATAGCTTGATCTTGTTTTGAAGAGTCTTTTAATCTACTATAGATCTATGGATACAATTTGTTTATAACTCATGTCTGAGCATCGTGGTAATAATAGCTAATGCTTTTGAGCTCCTACCATGTACCAGGCAGGCAATATTCTAGGGTCCTAACATACGTTGATTCCTTAATCCTCACAGCAACACTGTTGTCATCTGATGTAGACTGAATGTCCCTGCAAAACTCATTGAAGCTTGACCCCATTATAACAGTGCTAAGATGGCGTAAATTCCATTATGATATATGAAAGGTGAGGTCTTTAAGAGGTGATTAGATTGTGAGGACTATGCCTTCATAAATGGATTGATCTGCTCATGGAGTAATGGGCGTGGTTCTGATGGCTTTATAAGGAGGGCAAGTGAGTAGGTTAGCTCTCTCTTGTTTATGCCATTTTCACTTGCAATTTGATGCCCTGAATTGCTGTAGAGTCACCATGAGGAAGAAGGCCCTCACCAGATGTGCCCTCTGGACCATAGACTTCTTGCCTCTGAAATTGTAAGAAATAAATTTTATTTCTTTATAAATTACCCAGTTTTGGGTATTCTGTTATAAGCAACAGAAACCGACTAATACATCATTCCCACTTACAGTTGAGAGAGGTTAAATAATTTGCCCAGGGTCATATACAGCTAGTAAGAGGTGAAGCTGTGAACAGAACAATCTGACACTAGAATCCATACCTCTTAGGTAACTAATATAGTTAATCCTAGCAGCTGTCAGGTAATTAGAATATTTAATTAACAGGATATCCTACTTTTCAAGTCCTTTGTAGGGGATTTTAATGTACCATGATATTTGTTTACAAATTTTTTTTGGATTTGTAGAATATGTATTGGTTATCAGTGAGGCAGAGATGTATGCAGGCAGTTTTTCTTCTACTGTGATGGCTTGCATTTCTGTGACTTGCAAGAAAGCAACATGGTGGACCTCTGAGCCTTTACTACACTCTCATTTCCTTGTGATGAGAACAAATATTTCTGAGGCTTCCCATGTCTTAGGGCAAAATCAGAACCTTTTTGGGCCCACGTGGCCCTGCCTATCTCACCGGTTTCCACTGGGGCCCTCTGCTTTGCCACTTTGGCCTTAAATGTCTCCCATCACAGTACCTATATACAAGACATTTCCTCTGCCTGGTGTATCCACTTCATCTGTGCTGCCTCGCCAAATCCTATTGTCTTTTGAGCCTTCCCTGACCCATGAGGCCAGGTCTAGTTCCCTTCTTATAATCTCCCACAGCATCACGGACTTCTTTCTTGCAGTATCTATGAAAACGGTAATTGTAAAACTGTGTAATTACCGAGTGCCTGTCTCCCTGGCTCTAAGTGTAAGCTCCATGTGTGCGTCTTGTTTATTGATGAATCAATCCTCAGTACTTAGCCCAGCACAGCTTAGCACACAGTTGGCACCAAATGAATATCTGTACATTGAGAAGAAAGAATTCCCAGCTACCAGCTGAAGAGGAAATAAATACCTGAGTCCCCTGGGCACTGACTAGACCTGCTGGGTGTAGAAGAAGGCCTGCCCAGACACAGAGAGAATGCTGGAAGAGCTTGGCAGAGTGATTAGCAAACCAGAGGATAACTGAATACTGGTATAGCTATACATGTTTATTTTTTCTAAACAATTTTTAAGTGATCAGGAAATTCTCTGGGTAAAATCATGATTTTGAGAGCAACGAAACATAACCCAATTTTAATAGTGGTAAAATCCTGATCAATGAAATTTCAGCTCAGAATACCGAGAGCCGAAGTGAAAGAAACAGGCTAGTTCTGATGACATAGTGTTATTCTCCCAAGTGTGCATCTAGGGTTATCATTGTTCACTTTTAGTTGCAGCCCCTTCTATTTTAATTTCTACTTCTTGCTTTATCATCTCTCAATGATTCCTCGAAACAGTCTTATGCGGAGAGCTGGTCCCACCGACAAAGAAGAAACGCTTCCTCTTTCTAAGCCTCTATTTTTTGAATGATAAGGATTGCCTCCACCCAGCGCGCTGTTTCCTGGTTTTCAAACGTTTTCAGATCTTCCTGTGAATTGCCTTAGATGAATCAGACTGGATTGCTATTCAATGTTAGAGATCCCCTTTCTCACCTGTTCACCTGGAAGACACCACAAAGGTATGGATTTTTAGAAACTTAATTCACCTCACCCTAACCACGAACGACAGTCTGCAGTTTTCACGAATGTGACATCAATACTAATCCTACTCTGGAAAAAGCTGGCACTCGCCTTCACGGCGGTGAGGGTCCAGGACTTGCCTGCAGGCTGCATCCCACGGCCACAGGCCCGCCAGCAAGGAGGCGAGTCTCAGGGGGCGTTCCGGGAAACTCCGAGGGACGCCGCTTCGGGAAACGTTGTTTGTCAAAGGCAGGCGTGGCCTTAGCAAGGTGACAGTTTTTCAAACCTCCGACTAGAACGGAACTTTCCCTGGCGCGGGTCGCCCACAGCTGGGGCCGCCGCCGCCCCTAGCAACAAGCCGCAGCCTGCCTCCGCCACACCCACCGGGCCG